CGTCCCTGAGAATCCATTATCACCTAGATTTTCACTCATAAACACGATTATCGGTCGTCCGGGAGACTCGGAAACGGATAATATTGGGTAGGTCGGAATATTACCCTGATACGATATAATATTCGCATGTTACGTAGAAACACATATGTGCCCACATCCATATAATACGTACTTAATATCGATAATATGGCTATCAACGCTATTGGCACGTATCAAGTAAGTATATTCCATGGCGTGAACAGTCAATTATTCATGAGAAAAAGAACGGTCTGTTTGATCAACCCGTTGACAGGACACGTATTCTTTCCTGACATATTTATTTTTAAAGTTAGATTATTTAATTCCAAGGAAATACAGAAGCTTAAAAAAATTTGTATTCTCATCTTCTCCTCGTTAACCATATATATTATCAATTTATTATGGACGAATGTTTACCCTCATTTTATTTACTTCGTACACGTAATATGAAAAAATCCAAGCAGGAACGTCATAAGTGTCCTTATCAATGCACATGTCTTTACTGCATAATGAATGTACGAGTGCTGAATCAATTTCATATATATGTATATATACCTTTGATAATAATTTTTTTTATTTTTATAAAAAAATATCACAGATAAGAATCTAAATGAGTAATCGTATTCCTATTACGTGAACCCTCATGCTTACACATCTAGTATATTTACCTTTTGATCTTGATTATTTTTTTAAATCGGTTGAGCACCCCTGCAAGTGCGATGGGTACATAAGCACAGCAAGGGAGAAGAGTTGAACAGTGTTGAACACAGTTCGTCACGAACATCTGATACATAGACAACCCCGCTGACGTACACAGACGTCTTCGTTGCTCGACACACATGTCATTTACATGCCATCCAGGAGTTGGCAAGACTAATCGCTGGTTGGAAAGCACCCTCGACCAATCCTACCAGCCGGCAGTCTGTTTTCGCACTCAGAACTTCAGGATCTAGAGCCCTGAGGATTTTAATAAATTTTCTTAACTCGGATATATAATACATAAAACGGACAAATCTCGTGTATTTACGAACACGATAAATACACTTTTTTTTCATTTCCGTTTTTTTATTACCATCAATCAGCAATAGTTATTCATGCTTTTCTTGACTTTCCTACCAACCCCGTCTGAAAGGTGCTCATTAAATAGACTCATGAACGAATCCAGAATATGAAATCTTCTCGTGGTCAAAATAAGCATAGCGTTATGCCAACTCACACCTGGAAAGTTGCCGCTGCCGAGGATTTCCAAATTCCGTCCGTTCAAATCGAGTAAGTTTTTGCACTTTTGGAACACGTCACTGCTCCGTAAGAAAGTAGGTCCTGCTCGTTCCATCTAGATACATGCAATTCCTCGTGTTTATTCGGCATTTCATTCAGGGCTGCACGAGGCAATTTTTTTTTGTATGTTTGTCGCATGTCAGATGATCTTTATTACGTGAATTATTTATCCGTTGCACTCAAGTGTATACTTGAGCTTTGTATTATTTTTATTAACGACACGAACATTCTTTTTATTTATGAAAAATTAGTGGTTGCCATTGGCTGTTTAATTTTTATTCTTGTGAATTATCATAGATTTTTTTACAGGACGTTTCGCAGAAGATTTTCGCTTTTTCTTTATAACAAAAAAAGTTACTTACTGTATCGTATCTTTATCCATTAAAAATTTACTAATTTCTATTTTCGTATTTTCACCGAGAATCACGTTGAAATAGTGTATACTTGAGCTTTATATTATTTTTATTAACGACATGAACATTCTTTTTTTTTTTGAAAAATTAATTGTTGCCATTGGCTGTTTAATTTTTATTCTTGTGAATTATCATAGATTTTTTTACAGGACGTTTCGCAGAAGATTTTCGCTTTTTCTTTATAACAAAAAAAAGTTACTTACTGTATCGTATCTTTATCCATTAAAAATTTACTAATTTCTATTTTCGCATTTTCACCGAGAATCCCGTTGAAATAATTGCGACAATTATCTGGGCATATTCTATTTACACTTTGGTGTTCGCCACCATTAATCACGTTCTTTCATTTGTATTGAATATGAACGAGACTCGGTTATATCTCGCATACACGTATCATACAAAATATGGGTTAGTTATTATCAGGCCAAAAATTAATTCACTGTATCAACTATTAGAGATTATTCACGCACAACAAAAGAATACAGTCTTGAATTTCGTCGCTATACAACTTCGAGTACATCAAGTCCATTTGATACAGCGTTAATATTTTTTTCAGAGTATCCAAAGCCGATATATTTTTCGGGAGAAAAGATCTGTACAAAAACACCAATGTTCCATTTAATAGTAAGTGTGTATAATTAAAAAGAAAAATTTGTTCCGATTATTACTGCTAGGATAAAAATTTTCTATCAATGAATATTATCGTTCGATTTATAATTGGAATCGATGAATTTTTTATTAATAACAATACATTTTTCTGACAGTAACAATGCCTATTGTACAGCCTGGTAATTTTAATAAGACTACAGACAGTTTGTATTCGGCTCTAAAACCGATTATGGTACTGGCACAGTGCTTCGCTTTGGTACCCGTTAGTGGAGTGTATTCCAAAGATGCATCGTGCCTCAAGTAAGTTATCAATTAAGGTAGTAATCGAATAACGCTATTTTAAAGGACGTTAACCTGATTTTAGATTCAGCTGGAGAAGTCCAAGAATCCTTTACCAGTTCATATCATTAATTGGCGCTGGAATATTGTATATTTGCAGTATGCTGAGACTATCTGTAACTGGAATCACTTCGACAAAAACTAGTACGCCGTTGTAGAAGTATATTATTATAATAAAAAAAAAAATTTGTAAGTTATAACGGTAACGATACTTTTCACAACAATAATTTTTAGCGAATATTGTCTTCTTCGGAAGCACCTGTATCGCTTCGTTATTATTCCTCCGGCTTGCCAAGCATTGGCCATGCTTAAGTATGGCTTGGGAAGAAGTCGAACGTGAATTGTCATCTCGATATAGGAGAACTTCAAAAATCAGTTTGGCATTTAAATTTCGACTAATGACAGTAACCGTGATGACCTTGGCATTGTGTGAGTATTAAAAAAAAAAATTAAAATCTGTGTAAAATTTTGATTTTTTTTTATTCACTAGTCGAACATGTACTGTCCGTTTTGGCTGGGTATAAAAATGCCCTGGAATGCGCTAAATTACGTGGCGACACTAACATCGTTTCTACCTACTTTCAATCTCAATTTCCTCAGGTAAAAATGGCAATGCTAATTAAGTAATATGAACGTGGCACTAAAATTAATTAAAATCCATACAATTAGCTTTTACTCTTACCACAGGTATTTGGAGCGACCTCTTACGCTCATTGGAAAAGCATACTGGTGCAGATTGTAAATTCTCTTAGTACCTTCTCTTGGAATTTCATGGATTTATTTTTGGTACTTATGAGCTTTGCATTGGCGGATCAATTTCGCCAATTGAATAAGAGGCTGTACGAGGTTCGCGGGAAGGTAACGATGATTTATAAAATGACCCATAAGACGAATCTCTGTATAAATATATACGAGGATCTTGTTAAAAATATTTTTGCATACTTTTTTAATTCATCATACTTCGTACAATTTCTTATAATTAATTGACGCTTTCATTCCAAGGCCATGCCGGCGAAATGGTGGTCCGAAGCTAGAAGCGATTACAATAAATTGGCCAGCCTGACAAGAAGAGTCGATGGACACATATCGTATATCGTTTTGTTATCATTCGCCAGTAACTTATACTTCATTTGTATCCAGCTTCTCAATTCATTTAGGTATGTGTAAGTATCACAGGCAGATGAGCTACACTAAAAAAAATTGTCCTTATAGAAATATTTTCTGTAATTTGATATTTTTTTTTCTTCTCTCAGTCCAACGAGAGACACGATACAAACAGCCTACTTCTGGTTTTCCTTTGGATTTCTTATTGTTAGGACTGCTGCAGTGTCCTTGTATGCTGCCTCTGTACATGACGAGTCCTTATTACCAGCGCCGATCCTTTACAGCGTACCCGACAGCAGTTATTCGATTGAGGTAATAAACACTTGAATGTATAAAAATATGAAGATTTTTTAAATAAAAAAAGAAAAACACTTGTTACAGGTGGTAAGATTTTTGACGCAGGTCACTACTGACAGTATAAGTATAACCGGTATGAAATTCTTCTCGATAACGCGCAGTCTCGTTCTGACAGTAAGTAGTTTCGTAAACAGCAGATTTGCGATATTTTTGTGTAAAGAAAAAAAAAAATTGTTTAATTTTGTTTAACTCAAAATTAACGGTACGAATATTGATAGAATGTATTTTGTGATTTTTTTATACAGATTGCTGGAACAATTGTCACTTATGAATTGGTACTCGTCCAATTTAATACGGTACAACAAACTGATCCTGCCTCCATAAATTTCACCGATGCTTGCGGAGTGAAGTAAAAAGCTCGAATTTTCGTTCTGCGAGTTAAAGAGGGACAAATTGTATAAAAAGAGAGCTTTCTGTTTGCTCTACTTCAATCTGTCCTTTACTGTCAGTTACATTAGAATATTTGCAGTTTTTGAGAAACCGATGCTCTTCTATTCTGTAATTCGATTTCTCTATTCCTATTATATTTGTAATAATATTTATCACACTGTAGATTACTGTTCTTTTTAATTTTTCATAGCACTTAAGATTTAATTTAGTATTTCTTATGACTCTGTGTAGGCCGTATTGTACAGTGAGTAAGAAACGTATAATTTATAGCACGAAATCTCCACTTTTATATGTCCTGTATAACCGTTCTGTCTTCTTCATCACGCTGTATCTCTGTTAGGCGATAAAGATTTTCATTATTTTGTAGATAAATATTTTTTTATTTTCATTTTCATTTTAGTACCTAAGAAGTTATCAAGCTTGTCGATGTAGCTGATATATTAACGAGTTAACTGGGGGTTAACAATCTGAATTCGCCATTATGAATTTCCCAATTTTTAATTCAGATTCGTAATCAGCGGCCCAAAAAACTCATGTACACCGAGTTTCGTCAAAATTCACAAGAATTTATCAAAGTTATTCAATGTGTGCACATATGCGTTATTATCACTTTGCACGAAATTTGTTTGCGCCTATATGCGTCAGTACCAGTCAGCTGATTAATGGTAATTGTATATTTGTATTGCAATATCGTTTTGAATTTCAATCGAAAAGATTTCTTTGGGAATTAACTTTTTAAAAGATTCAAATCTCGCTCGTAGAATATTTTATATTCTTTTTGTTTTAGTCCTTTAAACTGGACATTCTAAACTACCGGAAACTAATGGTACACAATGGCTGTATTGGCAAAGGAAGATTATCGAAAAATTACATAACGAAATCCCAATATGTTACTCTGTTCTTTGTATTTTCATTTTATAACTTTTCAGTGCTCTAAATTCTCATAATTTCTCGAACGAAGCATCTCCATGGAAACTAAAAGGACGTTTATTCAGGATTGATAATTAAATAATCTAAACGCATTGATCTTCCTGTCAAAGTTCCTCGAATATTTATGACATGACAATTAAATGCATTATTTTTCCAAATCTATTAAGCATTTCTTCATATTCTCCTTAATCATTTATTCATAGCTACGTTGAACTGCAGTAAAACCAATTCGTAAGTAGCGATAGCACCAGCCACCTGTCAAAAGAAAATTTAACGTTTATACACTCTTATAAATCCTAAAATACATTTTCTCAATATCAACAGTACGACAAACATACGAACCGCCAACATAAAGTTTCTGGTTACCGAGAAGAAACGAAGTCCGGTCAGAGCTATGTCGTCACTGGACAGTTGCTGCTGAAGTCTCTGTGCCTATATACAATTAATACTCTTTATAGATAAATACAAGACTCAGCATACCTTAAGGACTTTCCTTACCTCCATGCAATAGGTGGATGCTGGACAATTGTAAAGAACTGGTAATGCCAGCTTTGATTGATCATTAATCCTAGCTACCAATAAAGTGACAGTCACAGTTCTCGTTACCATAAATACAAATGACCCAAAGTAGTACAGGTTACTTAGTAGACCATTGTCGGTAGGACTTTTATTAACAATAAAACAACAATAGTCTTACTCCCCTTTACTGCTCATTTGGAATAGTCTGTATAGATATATATATATACAAATATACATTGTATATGAAATATACACTCACTAGAGTCCGTTGAGTAGTTGAAGACAGATAAAATATAGGTTATTGGCAAAAGATAATAATATTATTGGTGATATATAGGTATCCACTTGTTTCACAAGTAAGCTTAAGCTCGCATAATATTCGCGAAGGGCTTGCCATTCCGATAATGTTTTATGACAACCAATAGTACTGATGAGACTTTCGTTAAGAGTCTTGTACCATTCTGCCAGACCTGTCGATATCTAATAGGATTTGACAATTTTATAAAAAATCTTTTACAATTTGTCTGTTGGGAAAGACATAAGATATTGATAATGAAAAATCATTGACGCACCAGCATAACGAATATGTCAGTAAAGTTCCATACGAACGTTGCGAATTTACTGATTATAAATAGAAATATTCCAAGAGCGATATTGTAATCCACTAAAATAATAAAAGCAGAGAATCTTTCATTACATACCTTATATCTGCAATAGTTTTAATTAGTCGTACGAAAATGGCAAATGCTCTGCTTACAGCTGCTGAGAATGAATGGGTGAGACGTTGCCGAGTAGAAGTGTAAGAAATGTTCTATTGTTGAGTTTTCAGTTTTCTCATATGTAAATCCTATTGTGTTTGTTACAATGCTGACCAGGTGTTCAATCAAAGCAAGCAGTAAAACAATTCCGGTTATTATTTTGAACTTCCAACGTAGTTTCGGATGTCCCAGCCTGTAAGTTGAATAAATGATAATTGTCAAAGCAAGGATAATAGTGAAAAGGATAATTAATAATTTGATATACCTGTTAATAAGTCTTTCCATCGCTCGCCAATCCTGTTGTAAAACCACCCAGTGTGGTGCCAGCCATAGAAAAATGACGGCACCTATTAGACTGTTCCCATAAAAAACAGCACCTGACGTAGCCGATGTAATTCCACCTATAATCGTTAGATGAAAACAATTTACAAAATTAATACTGGGTAATAGCAATAAAACCGTAATAAAGTACGCTTCGTATAGCTTAATAATATGACTCATTATTCGCTATAGATTATTCTTATCCATCAGGGCTGTCTCTTTATCTAGGAGCAGCCTGTGAAAGCGTGCGTGTACGATTAATCTATATTTTGCAAAAGTCAAATAAAAAAAGCTCATATAACAGGATGCTGATCTAAACTACAGCAAAGCACGCATCGTAATAGACTTTTATCACCTTTCAATTCAAAAGCTTCAGCTTTCAGAGTCTTCAGCATGTGCATTATCGAAAACCCTGCCATTACGGCAATAGAGATGATCACTATCAAGGAGTAGATGGTGCGAGCCGATCTCCTTGAATATGCCAAATTCTTTGGCGAAGGGGAACTTATTCCCATGACCGGAAACAGCCCGAAGACTTGAGCTATTATCAGAATAGGTCCTATGGCACAATGGAAAGTCTCGTTCGGCTTAAAGAAAAAGAAAACATTTTTAAGAGACAAAGGCGAATTCGTAAAATAAATTTTTACAATTCTTCAACTTACATTGCGGTCGATAGGATCAGCAGGATTTTCGAGGGCAGCCCGTAAGAATGATCTTGATTTTGATGCAGCACGTGGACCAGATCGATTCAAAGCATGAAGTCGAATTCTTCCAAGACAATTTCTGGTCTCTTGCGACGTCATTAATGGCCAAACTTTTCTTGACGTTACTTTACCTATTTTCATACCATCCACCTCAAACCCCTCCTTCATTTTCACTGTCATCATAGTCGCCAAAGTGATGTTTGGTCGAATTAAAAACGTCCCGTACGAATTTTACTCTCTCCTAACGAATTAAATGTATTAGATGACAATTTTTCTCATTACTACCAACGTCATATGACTTTTCGTCCCAAATCCTCAGAGTTCAAATCCCAAGGAACTACCTACGTCCACGTAGTCCTCTTCCTTTCTATTATACTTACTTCAATAATTCACTTATTTATTATTTCCCACCAGGCTCATCGTACAAACTTCGCGGTAGAAGAATGATCTCAGAACGGAACCTGGTGCCAAAGAGAAAGAAAAAAAAAAAAGAAAAACAACGCCCAAGAGCTAATGAATATTTTATCAAGCGCAGAGCATAGCCAGTTCGGATTCTCATATTAATTATCGATTTACGACATATTTACGTCACGTTACTTGAAACTGACGGATGGTTTCAATTTTTTGTATTTCTTTCCCATCCACAAATCTAGTATACTAATGAATTACGATATTCCTTACGTGAGAAAAAATTCACACTATTTTCAGAACATACCCCATTTTTATGTTTGACAAGACTTATAAATTCCTTATTCTATTATACCACTGACAACGAATCACTGTTATGACTATATATACCTCTATTATTCGGACAATGTGTTTCTCTTGGAAATTTAATGACACTACTATGCCAAGCGATCAGGATTGGTGTAACTAGTATAACGCAATAAGGCTGATATCGTAGCAAATTGAAGTTTCATACTAACCACTGTAGTGCCGCCGTTAAATATAAATACAGATTGCATGTGTGATTAGATAGAACTCGTCACTTATACGCACGCTTCTCTCCAAATCACACGTAGGATAGATTATTATTTACAATTAAGGAAGAAAATTAACATAACAATCTGTTTCTTTATAATTAACACGTTCTTAAGATTCCTCAAGTACAGCTACGTATACCTAGTGCGATTTTATTATATACTGTATTCTGTATTAGTGAATACATTTTCTGATTTTCAAACAGACTAAAGTATCTAGATTGAACGAGCGTTATTTCTACCATAAAATATGCATCGGCATTGTCAGACGCCTAACACGTCGATTAGAAATTGTAGTGAAAAACATGTTATTGGACTCGGTAAACTAGCCACATCCGATTATTAACATGAAAATTTGCGTGCCGATTGACTTTCTGTCAGTTCAAAAATTGTTTTCAGATACATACGAATAGCGACAAACCTACCAATAATTAGGACAAAGAATTAAATAGGCGCTAATCCTTTATATTATTCATGCGGATCATAAAAGTCCAAAACAGTCGATCGATTGCGATGGATCGATTTTATTCCTTTTTTTACTTTCAGTACACTGGCACTTTCCATCGAATTAAATAACTAAGGATAAATAACAGTACCACTACCACATAGCCCTTTGTACTCCTGACAATAAATTGTGGTCTGCCAGGTCACGAAATACTATTCTTGATAATCGCCATCTGTATACAACACCACGAGGACGAGATGTCAGGGCGCACCGAAATGTGATCCTGCAGGGTGCGGAATTCCTTGGAAAGTTTTCATCCATTTCCTTGCTTGCAATTTCCTGCACAATGCACAAGATGATTAACATAGGATATCACTGTTACTTCAGTTATCCGAATGACATTCTTTTTAACGTACTCTTATCTCTGGTGGAAGAACGTTGTTCCTTTTGAGGGCAAGTACGCGTACCCGGTCGGTACAATGTTCCTGAACGCATTTACGACGTTTCACATCGCGAATCATTTTCCAATCAGCCCATTTGTTTCGCACTTGTTGAAACTGCAAAATATTTTTATTATAATACATATCTTTTGTATATAATTACGAAAATTGTATTGTTTGTATATTTAGTTTACAGCTACTGGAGCAAATAGAAATTTAAAGGTTATATTATGGTATTGGGTATAGCAATATATCTACAGGATAAAATATTTTAATTTATAATTTGACAATATTAAATATTTACTTTATATACTTTTCTTTGGTACTTACGCCATATCCTGCAAGATCTGGGCTTCTCCATATAAATTTTGTGAGCGACGAGACGCCCTGACCAAGCGCCGCCATCTTTCGCTGTGTACTGGCTGTCTGCTTCAAAATATTTATAGAGAATCTACTGTCACAGAAGTTTAAGCCAGTTAGTTGCATAAGTGATAAATTATGGTCAAAGACAAGTTACCGTAATGGGAAACGATTTTGGGATTATTTAAGAATAAAATAAAATGATCAGTTCTCAGTTCTCTTTATTCATCGCAGACCTCGTGTCTCAACCTTTATTTATATGTATATACAGAAAACTGTTAAAAACCGTTCTCTTCCCAGACAGAACCGCGGTCTAAGACATCGGGCATGCCGTATTAAAAAGGAAGTAACATATTGATCAGAATGTTGGCGCAGTCCGAATCTCTTTGTGGAAAATGAAATAACAGTCAGTCCTAATAAAAATCCCCTACGATAGCTTGCACAAGATCTACGTGATAAGTCTCAACATATAGTAAAGGAAAACGAAGGTTAAATCGACTACAAGATAAAGAATTGAAAAAAGTAAGATCTCGTTAAAGCGATGGAGACAAATGAAAAATTATTATCATTTATGAACTAAGTGAGCGACGATCGAAAGTATTACATAATGAAGAAAGACTGGGGTACGTATGTCTTAGAGTATCGCAGATATAGGATTTATTATTTCCGTATAATAATTAGAAAATATAATTAAGCCGAGCTAAATTATGATGTTTGTTGTTTTTGTTGTTGTTGTTGATGTACCGCGATCCAAGATAGTTTGCCATCCCGGCCAGCACAGGGCTCGTCCGTGGCCTTTCCTCCGGAATTCTTTTCGATGGAAAATCCGTCGAAATGCTCCGTGAATCGAGCAACGGGCTGGCAGAGGGCAAACTGCCTCGGCTACCATGATCCGGCGTCCACCCGGCGGCTCGTATCCGCGGAAGCTGGTTATTTCTTTTTCTGGGCCTTCTCGGCAGCCTTGGTCGTCTTGCCCGTCGCATCCTTGAAATTCACCGCCTTGATAACGCCCACGGCGACAGTCTGACGCATGTCACGAACGGCGAAACGACCCAGGGGAGGGAACTCCTGGAAAGCCTCGACGCACATGGGCTTGCTGGGCACCAGATTGACGATGGCTGCGTCACCGGACTTGATTGCCTTCGGGTTCTCCTCGGTAGTTTTGCCGGTACGACGGTCGCACTTCTCCTTGATCTCTGCGAACTTGCACGCAATGTGTGCCGTGTGGCAATCCAACACGGGCGTGTATCCGTTGCTAATCTGACCAGGGTGGTTCAGCACGATGACCTAAGCATAAAATTTAAGAATTAATATATTTTCATTATGGATATTTAAATATGTTGATATTGACGACTGACATATCACGAATTTGTAATTAAAGATACTGACCTGTGCAGTGAAGTCAGCAGCACCCTTGGGTGGATTGTTTTTGGAGTCTCCAGCGACGTATCCACGACGCAATTCCTTCACGGAGACGCTCTTGACGTTGAAACCAACATTATCTCCGGGAACAGCTTCCGTCAAGGCCTCGTGATGCATTTCGACGGACTTGACTTCAGTAGTGATTCCAGCGGGAGCGAAAGTCACCACCATAGAGGGTTTCAAGACACCAGTCTCCACACGACCAACGGGTACTGTTCCAATACCACCAATCTTGTATACGTCCTAAAATACAATGAAAATACAATAAAGACAACCGCTTATAAAGCGAAAAAAAAATTAAATTTTTCAACAACAGATCAGACGCATTCAGCCGTCAATGGATTGCACAATCCTCCGGTGGAAACCGCGAATGAATAAAACATTGTATCATCATGTTAAAATCGTTCAACTACAGCTACAATAGCCAGGGTATAGTTTCTTTTTTCTTTACCTGGAGAGGAAGACGCAGGGGCTTGTCGGTGGGCCTGGAAGGTGGAAGGATAGCGTCTAGGGCCTCAATGAGGGTTTTTCCTTCAACCTTGCCTTCCTTACGTTCCACAGTCCATCCCTTGAACCATGGCATTTTGGCGGAGGGCTCCAACATGTTGTCGCCGTTCCATCCGGAAATGGGAACGAAGGCAACAGCAGATGGGTTGTAACCAATCTTCTTGATGTATGACGATACTTCCTTCTTGATTTCCTCGTAACGAGCCTCAGAGTATGGGGGTGTGGTGAAGTCCATCTTGTTGACACCGACGATGAGCTGCTTGACACCCAGGGTGAAAGCAAGAAGTGCGTGCTCACGGGTCTGTCCGTTCTTCGAGATACCCGCCTCGAACTCTCCAGTACCAGCTGCCACAATTAGCACAGCACAATCGGCCTGACTCGTTCCCGTGATCATGTTCTTGATGAAATCTCTGTGTCCAGGAGCATCGATGATGGTCACGTAATACTTGGCCGTCTCGAATTTCCAGAGAGCAATGTCAATGGTGATACCACGTTCACGCTCGGCCTTCAATTTGTCCAAAACCCAAGCGTACTTGAAGGAACTCTTACCCATCTGAAAAGAGAAAATCATTAATTCTCAAATCTTCAAATTTTAAAATAATACAAAAATTTTTTGGTATCCATAGATGGCACTCAGACGCATACTGCCATCAACAGACCCAACGATCCTCCGGTGGAAACCGCGAATGATTAGTAATTTTATCATCATAGTACCAAATTATTTCAAAATATTTCTACAACATATAATCTAATGTTCATTCCAATTACTCCAAATTGTTAGCTTTATCATTGTTATATCACCCAAAATGTGTGCTTGTTTATTGATCCCAGGTGAATGTTATTGCAAGATGACATGATGTTATAACCCAATGTTACAGTGAATACTGTCAATATTATGTTATGCAAGATGTTAAATAAGAATAAGATCAACATCTCATCATCTAAAATCTAAATCATAGATGAGTCATTATTGATTCAATGAATTCAGGTATATTCAAATCATTGGAGCAATTGGATAAAAATGAAAAACAGAATTAGATATAAAGAATAACTGTTATGACGGTTACCTCATGAGCTTCCTTCTCGAATTTTTCAATGGTACGTTTGTCAATTCCACCGCATTTGTAGATCAAATGACCGGTGGTGGTGGACTTGCCGGAATCGACGTGTCCGATGACGACGATGTTAATATGAATCTTCTCCTTTCCCATGATGTATGCCTGTTGGTACTAGTCTGGTCAAAACTGTAAATTAAAAAAAAACATGCATATTGAAGTGGTTTTGAATAAATATGGTCATCCTCATTACGCAACATAACCTAAAAGTTTAACTATAATGAAGTCCATGCCACAAGGAAACTTTTACGAGATGAATTTTTACTCCTTTACAAGTAGCCAAAAATAATTGTTAACGTTTTCAACAAAAAAAGACCAGAATTTTCTTTGTTCAATGTCCACGTGGCAGCCGGTTAGGATTCAAGAACGTTAGCGGCAGCCATTTTGTGTTAGTCGACGCGACGTCGCCCTACAATTTTACGACGCCCGGCGTCGCCCATTTGCCCCTTCTTGATTTTAGACATTTCATTTTTTCCAACATAATCGATAAGTTGCCAATCGATTCAGAGGTCTCGCTTTTCTTCTTCAAGATGGAGAAAACCAGATAGAAAACGCAGTTGAATGATTAATCATCGAAACAAGGAAATTCAAGATGTCTTGAAAGAAGATAGGTGATCTTTCCTACGTTTTCTTTACTTTCTTTTGTAATCTCTATACGACCGTATGATTTCTGTTTTAAATCAAATTCATCGAGAGTACTGTTAATGTGTTGTAAGACTGCAAATTTTATCAATACAAAAAATGAACAATGTAAAAATCACTTTTTTTCTTAAACAAAAAATCTTATCACACTACACACACGGAAATTACGATGCTCAAAATAAAAAAACGAAGTATCTCTTGCGCCATAAATAGTATCTTCAGTAGGCACGCGATATATTCATGATTAATGAAATTAAATTCTCTCCGAGTCGTCCCCGGCACTTTTCCATGAAGCAAAATATTCACGAACCGATTTAATTATTCCCGTTTGTCATAATACATTTCTCACGATACCTCAATCGCTCACAGTGAAAACATCGCACGAGAAGAGGAAAGACTCAGACTCTCACAAATTGACAAGCAACCGCCATTACTCCTTTCGATGGAAGATCGAAAATGATAGGAAGAACAGGCAAAGAATATCTAAACTGTAGATATCACGACTTCATGATTCTTATCCTTCTTCTAAAATAATGATCATTTGCCACAAAAAAATAATCCCAAACACAAACAGAACCAATAGTGTAACCATATTGAAAGGAATTAATATCTCGGAATCGCATGCGGTCGTATAGAACAACCGGCTAAGTCTTCGACCACGCGTTCTAAGATTTTACAAAGGTTTTCACAAAGATAATGGAACCTTTTCAAAAAATGATTGGCACTCCGCGAATCTGCACGAAAACGGCTGTCGTTATTTTGTGTATATGGCGACCGATGCTTACTGCTTGCTGACGAAATTTTCGGATTATCCAAATGCGCGAAAGGCACGCACAACCACTCACCTCCAGATGCCACGACAGAAAGAGATCGTCCAAGTGAACTGACATGCGCATACGGCTTCCCGACCAAAGCCTCGAGATCAGTGGCGCCATCCTATTGATCTTAGAGCATTATGGAAATATATAAAATCAGAAAAACTTACTGTATATTACGAAATACATAAGACTAGATTGAGAAAAAATGAATATTTAATATAATTTAAACATAAACTTTACTTCGTGAATTGATCAAGAAATATTCCAGCTACAGAACGTTTACAGTCCCATGAGAAGACTTTGGGTACGAGACTACGGTTACGCAGCAACGACAGGCGTGCCGAAACTCCTGTATACATATATGTATAACAGATTGCTTTACGTGTATGTGATATTCCGATCAAGAGAACGGTTGTCCGAGATGCATTCAATTTAATATTTTGAGTTCAATGGCTTAATCTTGAATCTATCAAATCTCTTTCGAAAATAAGAGAAATTTTCTATGGCGAGGTGTCGTACTCAAATTGACAACACTTACTGTGTTATTGTTTTATTCTTCTTAGTATGTACGTTGATTTATTGTAGGATATGTCAATGCTAAAATTATTATTTCAAATTCTTCTATCAATGGTAATCGTAACGTGTAATATATATTCAGCTGCGATCCATTTACTCTTTCCACCGCATAATAACGGTTACACTGATATTCCAGGGCCGAACCAGCTACCCAACACCAATCTTCTAGCATTTATGTACAACTATTAACTAAAGTTCATCTAATTGACGAAGCTATTAAATTATTATAATGTCGTAGACTGGGTAGAATTTATGTATGAATGTCCAAGTGTTAAAAAAATAACGTCTGGTATTTCATCAGTATGGTGTTTGTCGTTAGAATGATCCTTAAATTTCTTGACATTTCTGTTATATACATTTTCTTAATTTACTCAGTAAAATTATTATTAATCGATAAATTTACTACGATTTAATGGGTTTCATTTTTATGACAAGATGGGTAGGAATCGGTTAGCAATGAACGACACGGCCCTGCGTTGCATCCAGCAACCGAGAAGCGGTCCAGTTCCCATCTGGCGGCGACAATGGCATTCCGAACTCATGAAGTCTCAGGTTTCCTTAGGTTACATGTCGGTCCTGCACGATACCAACGAAGATATCAGCTAGACAATTTAAATTGATTTGCACTTGTTGCAGCAAGCGAGCTTACGTAGACACCAGAATGACACGAGTGCCACGCATGTGCCGGAAATGTTGACTTGGCCACCTGTTACCGCAGAGTGGATCTATACAATTATTATCTGTATTTCCAAGTCATGATCGATCAGTTGACACACGGTAACAGTATTTATAGGGAAGGATCAAATTTCCATAATATTTTTGAAATACAATTTATCGTGAACAGGAACTTTATTTTCAAAATTAATGTAATACAAATACCCACTTGACGTTGATGTCATAACGTGTGACAATATATGAAAACAAAAATGATGACGCGAAATTGCTCAATGTTGTGAAATACCTTATCGAATTAAATCGTCAATACATGCAGAACACATTTTCGTAGAATAGATGACGCTGCGTTCGATGTACTCTATATACATATACTCTATATACATATACTGTATACCTAGAAACGTTGAAAAAGAAGACATTGAAAACGTGTTATTTCTTAGAGGTTAGAAATAACGAGAACTGATTGATACACGAGAATGGAAACTTTGAATGACTGCTCTGTTGGTATTTTTCGTTAGTACAATGGATCGATACAGTCAAGGATTAATAGTTGAAGGATTTCTGCTTCGTTTATGAGTGAATTCCTGAATAAATGAGGTGAATCGATGTTAACTTTTTTAAGCCTGCTATTCTCGACGTTATTCGCGAACTTCCTTGCAAAACCAGGTAATCCAATAACGGTGTTTAGATACTTTTGCACATCAACGAACTTGCTTTGATGTGTAAGTTCCTATATAACGTAAGTATATATACGTAAATAGATATATCGACTGCGCAGAGATCAGTGCCATCTATGAGGATTCTCCTGAAACTGCTAACCAAACATGTAAAACCCAAGTAAAGGAGACCCAGGTAAGAAGCGACAAAAATTTGTTTCTACCTCACAGATTGTATATAAATCAAAATATATATTTGACCCGCAGATAATTGTAAGGTATTATTCGTATAAGTTGCGAATTGACAGAATTATTCTGAATTCAATATATTAAGCGTTCGAATATTATTTTTTCGTAATAGCATGCCTCTTTCGGAAATGTAATAAAAAGGAGTAACATTCATAAGAAACCAACTCCTGTCTTGAAATGGTTGTTTTCTTCGTTCGTCAAATGTACTTATCGTCTTCTAATACTTACCGTCTATCTAATATTACCTAACGGTTCTTCGACCTAGGCTTTCCAGTCAAGGACAAGGTTACCTTAGGTCATCTTCAGCGTTGACTGATATGCACGCAATAAGCTACTAGGTAGACAGAGGGAAGCCCCATATTCAAATTATAAATCCCTTTCAAAATCGATTCATACCTCGCGTTACCAGGATAGAGGCTATATAATAATAGTGGATGCGATAAAATGTTAGCTAATTAAAAATCAATCTGTTACCTGTGTAACAGGGTATATGAAACAAATGATGTATATAGACGTTTATGGATATCAATTAAAATGTTATTATAATTTTATGATAATGCTTTATGATATATTTATCGTTATATCAGAGAGGATTATAAAGTGGGACGGAATTTGTGGAATAGACTTTCACAGTGGTGAATGTTATTAATCAGATTTTCGTCCTTCCCAAAAAAATTAATTTTTTTTTTTTTTTTAGAGGGAGGAATTATTGTTATCTCTCGTATTTTTTATATATTTGTATTATCCTTCGTATTTACAAAAAGGTCGTTCGTTAATATTCAATATTGTAATTATTAATTAATATATTGTAATTTTATTCCTGAGTGACCATTCAATAAAGTCTTATCAAGAATTAAAACCACTCCGCCGTTCGTTAACAATTATCGCTAAGAGGGAGGGCGAGACACACGAGATTTTGGGATGAATGGAAGAAAGAAAAGAAAAAAAGATAATAGCAAAGATCAAAAATTATAATGAGAATAAAATGATCCAAGAAGAATAATTATGAGAGTACCAACCGTGAATGAATTATACCAGGTGTATGCTTTTTCAAAATCAGGATTCTTTCTTGGGTACAGGCTACAGAATACCTTTTTTTTTTACTTATGTCGCCATGAGTTACACTCGTACGATAAAACTATAGTAAATTACAGGTAATGGTGGTTCATTAAAATGCTAAAGCTGAAGCTGTCGTCTTCATCGTCTTCGACTTCTAACTCTTGGCATTTTCTGTTACATTGTTTGTTTCCCTTTAATTTTCATGATATGAAAAACACAGTAGTGCATTATACCGGGATCGTTACTATAGTAAAACATACATTTTTGCCCCTTTATTTTTTTCTTCGCTTCTAGTTACGTCTTTAAGAAGTAAAGATATTCTTTTGGCAATTCCCTCTGTTTTTCCCCGCAATTTCGTTGAATGTGCGAAATTTGACATTTCGCACTGTACAGCTGCCCACGCTCTCTGCAGCGAAACTTTACAAAATGAATGGGCCACCCTCGTGTAGGGGTCGACGGGAAGACAGAAAGTTTAAACATACAGATTTTTTATCTCGTTTTTTCCTCTTTTCTTTATCTTTCAGCTTTTTTCTGCCAAAGTCTCGCCACCCGATAGGAAAATCGCGCTTCTTGCAATATCCCTTTCGTTACTTCGAATAAAGTGTTTCGAACTTTAATAGAATTTTGCGTAACTTGCAATAGAATAACTAGAAGGCGTATTCCTTCCAACATGAATAAATATCTGAATAAAATCAATGATAATTAATAATAGGGCGCTATAAGATAGATGAATTCGATAATAGGTCTCATTCGCGCAAACATTAACACGCGTTCGTCTTTCTCTCTCGCAATTCCATTTTTTCTCATGTACACCGGAACACGTAAATAAGCTCTCTGTCTATTTTTCACGCACACCCATTCGCTCCCTAGTAATTATGTAAATTCGTTTTAAAGTGTAAAAAACGTGACATATTTCGAGAAAGCGATAGTGATTTTTCATTTTTTAAAATCTTTTCTTTTCCCGTCTCACGATGCCTCCAATTCTTTGTAACGACTAAGAGGACAATTGGACGACCGTTGCGAGATAAACTGAAAAAAAAAATTAGCAATGTAATCTCGCAAGTCGGCAACTGGGGGTTTAATTACCAAAATTTTGAAGAAAAAAATTCGCGGCGCCTGGTCGAACCATGTCCCCATTCACAGCATTCTCGCAAGACTACAATTATTAAGTACGTCGATATACATATAAATACATAAACCATCCACGTCTATATATATGTATAAATTTAATTTAGTACGTAGATAATTGATTACGCAGGGGCGATCGTCCCTCTTGATGTGACTAGTGCTATATATTCAGTAGAATCGAGGTGTCTAGTATATAAACCCTGACAGGTATATAAGAGAATTCTAAATTACCATGGCAGTAGAATACAATTTTTTTTGGTACCTTAATGTAAGAGCGTAGCATCCCGAACGTTGAAATCCACTGTCGAAACCAGTGTTTTATTATTGAAAAAAAAACTTTAATTTTAATTTCTTGTTTGGCATCACGAAAAAAAAGCTGTAATAATAAATCGTTTAGAATATCCTCAACGAGACGCTACGCCATTGCCACGAGGTAGAATTGTTTACCAGATACCGATATTTAACCCTTCGTTATCCTCCATTATTATAGTCGCTTTAGTGTCTATTATAACATTTGCATGAATATCATACAAATCACGGAGGGCCTAGTGATAGCATGACTGTGAACGTTATATGGTAGTATTTAATTAATAATTGTTCGTAATGAAAAACATGGAAAATCCTATGTGGTACGATGTTATCAACCTACATGAGTTTAAGACTAGACTCGTACTAGATTAAATTTTCAAGTGTTCGATTCTCTTCTCTCCTCTGCGTCTCGTACCGTCTATAACCTCTGCCATCTGATTCGACCATTTTGCTTAGCCAGGAAGATACAAGCTAGTTTCACGTCTTTTACAATAAGGAATTCCTTCCCTACTATACACAGTACAATTTTCTTGGCCAGTTCCATTGTAGCTTTTAGGTTAAAGGATGTCCCAGATTTATTGTAGGGAATTTATCTGGATAACTGATACACCCTGTACACTTGGCGGTTTACGAGGGACGACACTGATCCTCCTTTTTTTTGAATTACCCGTGGACTCGAAATACGCCTACCGCACGTACGCTTACGCGAAACGCGATGTCAAATGGCGGTTTAAGGTTGGTCCCAAACGTGAGTGTAAATTGCGCGTGGAAAAACATACCGCCTCAAAAAACATAACCTCTCTGTACCATTAATTAATATATGTCTAACTACGTTCTACGCGTAACGTGCGCAATTTATTTCATCTGGCAGTATTTACATGACGGAGATGCCGTGACATCCCCTCGAACCTCCAACACAAGTATTTCGAAACACACTGAAATTGATTCTCGTTGTTGACGTTGATCTTCCGGCTGAAGACGAAAAAAATTCATATCACTCGTTATACTTTTATATCGTCGCCGACGGCACGTTAATAATAACGGAAGTTCATATTAAGAGTCTCTCATACATCATACCGATCAATTCTTTACCTACTATTTACAGAAGTAGTACGATCATATAATTGAGATATCTAGTGCGCGGCGTACCGTTTATTTTTTTAGTATTCTCATCACCATTTTCACTGTCACCTTTGGCTTCGTCGATGGTCGCCAGACGTTCCACTTCCGCGGATAAACTCGAGGATTCACACTCTAATTGTTCGTCAGAATCTACATCGATGGATCTATTATTAACTTGTATCTTAACGAGAGCATCCACTGGCCACTTGTTATCCTCCGTTAATATCGTCTTGCAGCCCGTGCTCTCGCATCTGTCACAAATCTCACCAGCCGCCGAAGCCTCGGCACTCTGACACCGAAAGCAAATCAGATCACCGTCATTCGTATCCGAAAAGTTACAATGAACGCACTGTATAAGTCCAGCGGAGTTACACTGTAGACAAGGCGACACGCAGTCCCCGAGTTCCTGAACGCTTGTGCTATACGACGCCCGACGTACGTCTAGCCGCTCCTCGACGAATCTCGTACACACCGAACTCTGCGGTCTGTATGAACACGTGCGTGTCTTGAGGTCACACTCGGTGCACAATAACAAATTGGATTTACTACCCGGCTGCGAGTAATAGCCATTGCAGGTTCCGTAGTAACGTCGATCCTGATTATCGTCATCGTCGTCCTCACTCTCAAAGAAGTGCTGACTGAGACTGCCAATGGATTTAGCGTCGCTCCCGCGCGATCCCGACCTTCGTTCCACTTTGGAAATTTCTTCCTGGTAGTCGTATCCACCACCGGCGCCACCGTCGCCCCCAGCTGTATCCTCCAAGTAAAGACGTATGCGCTCAGTTTTCGTTTTGCCGCGCTCCCGCGGCCTTGTTTCTCGTTAAATGATGCTCTCCCGGTTTCGCTCATTGTCCTCGATGCTGGAGGTAGAGCTCGCACCGCATATCTGCATCTCAATTTCCGCCAGACGATGCTCCACTTCCCATTGTTGTTGATTGAGCTTCACGCTCATCGCCGCGTTTTCAGTTTCCAACGATATTAGCCGCTCGCGAAGTCTTTTGATTTCGGCTAGGAGGGCCTCGTGGGTTCCCAAAAGAGGCGTGGCACCCTCGCTCATCAGTTGCGTCATACTGTTGCAGGTCATGCCTGAAAACAAAAGGTAACAGAGCTTTGAAGAATATGTGCCAATAGTTATTTGATGTGTATAAGCTAGCTCAAAAGTTAGGTTAGGTTATGCTACTCTCTAGGCCCAATAGCAGCGTTGCAATACGTACTCTCGCAAGTTAAGCGATATTCTACATCGAGTATCGTCAGCTAGTTATTTACTGTATTGATTTGAAACGTGCATCAGAGACAAAGCGAATTATAGTTGGTATCGTCGCTGCGCTATATACCAGATACATATTTCCTGATTTGGTGTGAAGTGAGGAGCAATAGGAAATTTCCCATGTGAAATAAGCGCATGGTATTCCTGTGCAGGCGAATTTCACAGTTTCAGTTGGCTCTGTCCAATTAGATAGTATTCTTCGGTGAATAGTTTGTCAGCTGGTTATAGTTGCACCAACTGACAGTTATTCCACCGTGGAAATTTCACGCTGCCCGTGTACGTACGTGAACGCAAATTATTAATTGGTTACGTGCTTGGGAAAGGTGTGTTACGTATTTTACATGGAACATAGGAGATATACGAAGTCGCTGCGACATTGGGTAGCGGCCATAAAAACAAAGCCGTCCATTATGATGGTGTCGATCGATTAAATTTTCCAGCGGCTACCCGGGGAGTCACGACCACGGGGCAACGTTAAATACTTTCTGTTATCTATTGGGGTTAACGGCCATTACGTTCTATTTTCCCAAATGGTTTGCAAGTCTCCTCGTTACGCTCACCCATATATTACCATATCGTTTCTCCGCGGTCATATTTTTATCGTTCGAGCGTATTGAGGTTAAAAACAAAAAATCATCCAATTAAATTTCGTGGTTCATAGACGCGAGACGTATCATTGGGTTCGGCCGTATGATATGACAATTTTTAAATATCCTAAAGCAATCTTACCCGATTGGGTAGACTGTCTCCCAGTAGATGCTTGTGTAGCAGCGGATTGCGGTGCTCTGGCGGTAGGATCTTCGCTACTCTGACCACTGCTGGTAGCGCTCATAGGACTGTCCATACTTCTAGTATTGTTGTTGTTGTTCGTGTTGTTATTGTTATTGCTATGACCACTCTGCTGGCCCCTTGACGTCACCGGACTGGGCGTAGGACTGAAGAGAGAATGTCCAGCCGAATAAGGATGCGCACTTCGCACGTCTATGGGCGAGATCCACATCTCTTCAAGGGGTACGCGCCCTCGGGACTCTATCAGGCCGGGTGTGCTCTGGCAGCGACCCATTGCAGCTGAAAGCCAGGAGTTAGCTGAATTCGAGTATAGCCAGGAAAACATTCTACATCTCCCTATCGGGCTATGAGCCTAACGTGGCCATCAATATCGAGCGTTGCTCGCAACAGGTCATTTGCTAAAGTATGGTATTTATCATTCTTCCCTAAATTGCGCAATGGCTTTTTCGCATTGGCTAACGTTCATCATCATGAAATTAAACTGTTCGCGAATCGGGCAGCGAGAATTTCATCGATTTACAAGTTAGTCAATGTGCTACTCTGAACTTTTCGGTGCTCAGCAATACCGACGAAAAAAATATATCTATATAAAATATATAAAAAAAATGTTTTTTCTCAAATTAAAAAATCTTACCTTTTTCCAGTGGCGCGCGCTTGTACTTCTCTAGCCTCTTCACGGCGATCGCTTCTAGACGAACTCTGGCCGCGGGATATTCCTTAAGGACGTCCCACATGTCCTTTTTACTGAGAACGAACAGATCGCTGTATCCGACCGATCGCACGCTGGCTGTTCGCCGATTACCTGCGCCGATGCAGCCAGTTATTTGTTATCGGAGTGCACCAAGCTCCCCGTCGCATCAGCTCACATTCCCTTTTTTTTTTTAATTTTATTAGTTTCTCTTTTTCGTTCCCACTCACTTTGTCCGTACTTCCCGTAACTCTCTACCACCTACGCCCACTAAAAAAATCCCATTCCGTCTGAATCATCCCTCACACGATTTCATCCGTATACTCGAGAGTTAAATAAACTCCGTTATCGTAGTGCGATTTTCGCGTAAAATTTTGTCCGCGTTCCGAAAAGGGAGAGGGAAAAAAGTACAGAAAGAAAAAAATGAGGAAATAAAAAAACTAGCTAAATCCGTGAAAACCCCGTCCTGCGATTGGGGTTCCGTGTGTTCAACCCTCCCTTCCATACCGCCCCTGGCCTTAATGCCATTCGCTATCGCGAAGTGAACATCCAACGGGATGACGTAGGCACTACGATAAATTATTCGAACGCTATTCAACAATTCGGACCAACCAACGAAAGTAGAGAACCGAATGACGAAGTGTATAAATAGTAGAAAATTTGAAAAAAAAACGCGTCAACTTTAAACCCCAAAATGAAAGTTTACGATAAAATTATGAGAAGCGAGCGAAATGTTATATAACGATTCCCAAAATCGAGTACGTTCATTTTATCGAGTTTTTTATTTTATTTGTATTTTTTTGTTTAACATTCCAAAAACTACTGTACGATGCAAAGAAATATATATATATTACTGGATGACTATTACAATGAATGACAGTGTAATATGTAACACGTGGATTCGCTTACTGGGTTTAATTTTTTATAAAGAGGTTAGAAAGCGGACTTCATCTACATACGTGGTCTCAAAATTTAATTACGCACGACTTACGCACATACGCATAGTGGTTAATATTCGTAAAGCGGACAAAGACAGAGACAACAAGAGACAAAGGGGGGTGATTCGTATAGAAAGGGTGTATTCGTTATGGCACACACTGTACGAGGAATAGGGAGTGAGCATATAATATACCATATTGTAAAATTGACGTCTTCGCAAAGTACGGAGAATCGGACGGGGACCGAGATCATATAAGGATTACGATAAGATAAGAATTATTTTGCTAAAAATATTTATACTGTGCAGAATAAGAGCGAGTGAAACGTAACGGCAGGAGGACGAAATTGAAAATGGCAAAATGAAATTTGCAATAGACATTTGAAGAAGCACTCTCGAACCATACTCGTCGGCCATGACAATTTTGCTAAAGTGCATTCTTACTTTTTCCCTTATTTCCGATTTTTCACGCTATACCGTGGATCATTAGAATTTTCGAGAGTCAACAGCGAGCATTTTTCTTGGTGCGATGGAATTGAAAATTCACGAGCGTGAAAGTTGCGTAACTATTTTTTTTAAAACGAATAACGAATAAACTGCTGGAAATTTTATGATCAAAACGGTACTTCGTTACGTACAGTAGGCGGTGATATCAATAATATATATTTCATTATAGGTGACGTATTTTACTATCTACTCTGGCGAAATGTCGAAACTACGTGTAGCGGATGAGATAGAGAAAGATAGAAGATAGAGCGTTGACATATGTATGAGAAAGAAAGGCATTACGAAATAGGTGAAAAGTACGAAAAAGAAAAGCAGTATTCGACGAAGTCGATGAGATGATCC